TGTGGTGGGAAGTTTTCCTTGAAAATTACAAATCCGAGGTTTTTCTTCACTGCTGATAGAAACACGGTGCCCTGATGCACTGGGAAACGCTATTCATTTGCTAAGTGGTTTTGGACTTCAATCACTTATGATTCCTCTGCCTATACTCGGCACGGGTCCTATTTAGACAGTTAGGTAGGAAGTTATTACTATTAAACAAGAAAACAAGACAAGCTTACCCGTTCAATTCACAACGCAGCAGAAGAGGGTCCCAAAATCCATTTGAAGTTAGGTTTGAGAGCAGTATGAGCCCCACCAGCCAGCAATGTCTATGTAGACAGGGCCATGCAAGAGAGCATTCCTGACCTCACCTTTGAGGGCGTCCAAAACTGGCCACGTGCAGACCAGCTTCACTCTGTTTTGAAGGTGTCTCCTCTTCCTTATGGGTCAGAGGGGCTCTCTTCACAAGGAGAATAATAGTATTTTCAGCAGATCATTGAGGCATGTGGGAAATCAGTCACACATGGAGAACTGGGAGTGGATCAAATAATGTTACATGCCATAAGTGCCGGTCCATGCTGCTTGCACTCAATCACTGGTACACCATTAGCCAAGGCCTCCAGCATGGCTGTGCTGAAGCTCTAGCAGGACACCGGAGGATGGTTTTACTTGTCTGTTTCAATTCATTAAGCACTGCTAAATTATCCCTCAGGCCATCTACCGAACCAGGAGACTGAGGGACAGCAGCACCTCACCACTTGGGAGTTTAACTCCCAAGAAACCGTGTTGCATCCTAATGCGGCAGATCCAGGAGCTGTAGAGCTGCTCAGAAGGCGTTTGTTTGGCTCCACGCAGTGGTTCAAAGCTGTACAGCTGCCACAAAACAGACTTCTCTCGCTTTTCCCCCAAGTCACAGTAAAAGGAAACCAGTGTCAGCTCAAAGCAGTGGTTTCCAGTGGCCCACAAACCCAGTTTTGGTTTGTGAACTTCTCTAGCCACTTTCCAGCCGATGCAGAAGTTTAAGCTGGGTTGCAGTTTGCCATATAATCACTTTGCTTTTCTCAGCCATCTCCCCTGTGTCCCATAGATGATATTCACAGACCACTCTAGGGTCTGCTGGCAGTGTGCCGGCAGCCTCCACTTGGACAACCATCAAGAAGATCAAGTGTGTACAAGCACATTATACCGCTGTCCTGGGCAGTCAGAGTTACCAGAGTTTTCTTAGTGTCTCTGTGGTGCGACAGAGCTTGAGACAGAGCCAAACAGAAAAGGAGAGGAACAGAAGGGAGAAAAGCCAGAAGGAAATTGAGTCAGCAAGGATTCAAGTGGGCAGTGGGAGAGGTATGTGTAGGAATGCAGAGAAAAGGTTTATTCGCCACCATGGCTTGTTAGACTGGTCCCAAACACATGGGGGCTGTACTGTCCCAGGTGGTTTGATGGTAGACAAAGATATGTTGGCATAAGACAGGATTCCTCTTATTATATGGGAAGTTGGTTGTCCTAGCAGCCATCTTAACAGCCTACCCACAAAGTCCTCTGTAGACAGGTAAGTCGGCAGATGTGGGTGTGAGTCCCCACAGAGGGAAGGAAGTTCTGAGCACTTCACGAGCCAGTCCCTTGATTTTCTACATGTTCACACACATGCTCATTTTCTTACAGAAAGGGGTGATTTCCACTCGACTGTGAGACCAGTGTAATGCTCCCAGCACTAGCAGCCCCAAGAATAGTTTCCCACTAGCGTCCCCCTGAAAGCAGGCAACTTTAAAGAAAGAAAATGAAAGCTGACTTTTTTTAAGCTCCAGCTCTTCAAAAAAAGTCACATTTTGCAAGTAAAGTGTTTTCAGCTGTTTTTGCAGCAGCTCGTGCTGGTTGCTGATAAGGAGCATCCAGCTGCCACTCTCAGCCTGGAGTCTCAGGCAGGATGGGCTTCTTCTTTATGCCACTGTCAGCAGTTGTGAGTAGCTCAGGGCTGCTCTGCCCTGTACCTGGGTCATCCTGCAAAATGCATCCACCCTTCCTAGCTCCTTATGGTGCTGAAGAACCACTCGTGGATCAGCGTGGTTGTGTTATGGAGCTTCACTCCTGGGGTGCAGGCATTACCGCTGCAGAATGCCATCTTCCTCCTCATCAGGCACCAACACTTTTCTGGCTTTTATAAAACAAATGAACAGGATCATGGCTAATTTCAGATGCTTTTCCCTTTAGGGAACCCACTAAGCTGCAGCCTGTAACAACCGCTGCTTCCCCAAACATTTAGGTAAATTATTGCAACCTCTAGAAGAATAATCTTATAGACAAACATTTAGGACCTGTCATAGCTCACACTAGTGTGCCTATTACTAGTTACTCCATTTTCACAGTAATAGGGTAGGTAGATGCCCATACATCTAGATTAGGGGAAGGCAAGCATTCTAAATCAAACTAATCCCTTTCCACGCTGCAGGGTCTACAATACAGCTAAGCGGCTTTAAATCTCATTAGCAAAGTGGTGCAGTGCAGGAGAGCCATTTCATTTCTAACACACTACAGCAAAAATGTAGCTAGAAAATTGGTGGTTATTTTCTTCTAAAAGGTTTCCACAGACACAGAACAGTCTTGAGTTCATAAAATTTGCAGACTTTGAAACCAGGATGATGGTTTCTTTGGTTCTTTGCCATTTCTCTCATCTTGCTGTCATCAAGAAAGGGGGAGAGGGGAAGGAAAGCAGGAAGAACCAGGCAAAACCATGGAAATCCTAAAAGGAACAAAAATCTGTGTAACTGTTATAACTTTTTATCCCATTGCTGTTTCCCTTGGGATTAATGCCTTCAGCAGCAGTTTCTGGGAATCACGGGGAACCTGAGAACTTTCCCCCCATGGTACAACTGTCATTTGTTGCTGTAGCCAGCTACAGTCACAACATTTTCCTCTTCTCTGTATCCTCTAGATGGTGCTTGTGTATCACTTTCTACGCAAATCATGCTGCCACTAATCAAGCTTGGAAATCAATGTGGAGCTCTGTACTGCTGATCACTAGGAACAGACGGTTGTGGTGAGCACACTGGGTGCTGAGCTAGTGCAGGCCTTCACCAGAGAAAATGGTTGTCCTTAGCCTCTTCCCAAATGTGAGGTAGATAGCGCAGTAAAAAATCCTATGGCACATTTTATTGGAGCGTTATGAGGATTGAAATCTGATTGTGTTTCCTCTGTATCACACCTTAACACACTGGTGATGATGGACAAGGGTTCACCCCTTCTGTGCCCACTTGTGCCGGGTAGCAACTGGAGTTACAGAGCACACAGGGTATCAACTGTATGTCTAAGGAGTACATGGGGAACAAAAGATTCCTGAGCCAAATGCCCCGGATCCATGAACAGCATTGCCAGAGCTTGCAGCTTAGAGAAATTACAGCAAAGTGGGAACATGCCTCTGGACCAGAGGAAGAGAGGAAACTTCAGCACAAGAGGCTAGTGCAGGGAGGGAAAGCAAGCAGAGTTCTGCCTCATGAGCAGAGAAAATGGGTACCTCTGAGTGGGCCTATATGCATTCTAGAAAGAAAGAACCCCTGCCCTCAACCGTTTATGATTCCACTCTTCACTCTGGTTCAGTACATGGGATCACCTAGAAGTACTGAAATGAAATGAGACCTGAAATGAAATGAGAGCTGAAATTCTGGCCATCCTCATCCTTTACTCAATTTCAACAGCATTAATTGAATTTGAGGATAACCAGTATAGTAACACCCTCAGCCCAGCCTTCTCTACCTGTGCCCACCTGGAACTGGCCAAGTCATTTCGTTTCCTCTTTTGCATTCACACTCTTCAAATATTTGCAGACAAGCAACCTGGCTAGCCTCTGTTTGGACTCCTTATCTCAACAGGTTTCGGTCCTTAAAAATTCCCTCTTCCCTTCCCCACACCTTCTCTCTAAACTTACCAAGGGGTAGTCATCAAACATCCTCTCTGGCAAACAAAACTGCTGTTTCCCCAGCTCTTAGCTTGACACGCAGGGGACTTTGCTGGGGAAACCTGACCATTAAATAGGAAGACAGCAGAGAGCAGCTATGCTCCATGGAAAATTGCTCCTGCTTCAGTTTTTGAACCTACAGACACTTGCAGCCACCTTGCCAAGGAGATGTGCACCTCTGGGGCTGCCAGGGTAGAAACTTGGAGGTTTCCCACTACAAGAACAGGAATCACTGTTTTTTTAAGGTTTAAAAAGCCTTCTGCACCTGAAGCTTGCTTTATTTTCTGCTTGTAAATATTTTATGTGCAGGAAGCACCACCGAAAGACTGTAAACATGATGGTTAACTTCTCACTAGCCAAGATAAGACTCATTTTTATAGATGGGGAAGGTACAGTGACTTTCAGCCATGGTCACACTGGAGATGGGGAGCAGGCGTTACCAGCTTGCCTCCTTATCTGGTGATACAACTCTCCATTTCTGGCCTAGGCTAGAACCATATCCTTGCCCTCTGCAGGTCATACAGCCAAGGGTCCATCTCTAGCTCTGTCAAGCTCATACCTTTAATTGCTAATAAATTAACTCCTGAAATGATACTGCTTTGGGAGTACCAAAGAGATTTTACTTTTTTGTTTAAAGATCACTTAAGCCAGAAGTGGGTTCAGCTTTTCAACTTTAAAACTCGGTGGTGCCTCCATAGCCAGGTAAGCTGCAGCAATAGATACCCAGCTTCAGGCTTTGTGGCTGTGTAACCCTCCAACACTATAGAGCCTGATCTCAGAAGGAAGGAAAGGAGTTTAAAATCATCTTCACCTGGACTCAGACCTGACTTTCAGCACACTGAACACATACAATTCCTTCCCATGTGTAAATAGGTGTGTCTGCAAAACCACTGTTTTTTCCCTTGCTCCTTGTTAGAAGCGTATCTTTAAAAGGGGCAGAAAAAAGCAAACAAGGTGGGAGTAACACAAGGCAGTGCCACAGTCCCAGCAGCAGCCCCCAGCCTCCATGTCTCAAGTAGTACATCTTAGGTACATATTTGCTTTCCTGGTGCCTCCTCCCTCCAGGGCTGTTGGAGCACTTAGAGCAGCCGCCAGCTCCACCCAAGCCTGTTACCTGCCTGTATTCACCTCCTCTTGCCCAGGAGGCAAAGACAGAGCCAGGAAGGTGGCCAGTCATGTCCAGGGTTGCAGCGAGGCTGTGCCAAGAAAGAGCGGCTGCAGATGGGCTGGGATCCAACAGGAATGCCATCAAGTATTTGAAGCAGGACTACGAAGCCCTGAAGCAGCAGTGCCTGCAGGCTGGCACTCTGTTCAAGGATGAGGAGTTCCCAGCTTGTCCTTCCACACTGGGCTACCGAGATCTGGGACCGTATTCCTTCAAAACCCAGGGGATAGTCTGGAAGCGCCCCACGGTAAGAGGGCTTTATAACTACCTGTTTTACTGGGTTCAGATCTAATAAGATTCCACCTGGACATCCATGCTAAATCAGTGGTGAATATCCATGAATATCCACTATCTGTATGTTTTTTTTTTTTTTCTTCTATCTTGCTGTAGCAGATGCTAGGTTGAAAAAGGGATAGGGAAAAAAGAAATCAGCACCTTCTAAACTCTTTATAAAGCAAGGAATCCTATAACTGCTTCATGGGAACCTGCTTCCTCCCTGTTCATCCTATCTATCTCCACACAGAGCTACAAGTTCAGGGTGCAACCCAGAGCTGGGTACAAAAGCTCCATGTGTATCCAGACAGAACACAAGGCACCCCAGGAGCCATGGACCAATTGTAACAGTACCTACACCAATGTCTTCCCACTGCGCACCCCAGGAAAGCAGGCTAATACTTAAACAAAATCCTCTTGCTCTCTTCAAGCTACCTATAACAGTTAAAGAACAACTGACCAGAACTGTTAGTGCTGTTTTATCCTAAAAAAAGCCTTACATTTGAAAAAGTCATTTTTATCAGAAAAGATTAGATGCTGTTTTTTGGGTTTTTTGTTGTTTTTTTTTTTTTTTTTTTTGTTAAAAAAAAGCCAACACAAAATCAAGGCTTTGGAGATTTTTCTGCGCACACATTTTCCAGTCATTTCTTTCTGTCCCTACTTTGCTCCTCCTTTGTTGTTTTGCCTCTTGATATCAAGTAAAACTGAGAAACAGGAAGGAAGGAAACCCCCAAATGACTTCTCTTCCTCTGATGGGGGAAAGTGAGAAGCAGGGAAAATATCAAGGCTTGCATTCTTATAATGTTTTTCACCTGAAAAATGGGAAGCAGAAGATTTCAGGTTTAAGAACTTCAAGTTTCTGTGCTGGCAGCCCTGTTTGTCCCTCAGCACCTCTCTCTGGCTCCTGGATGTTTCAGCAACAAGTACCCTGGATGTGCCCCTTGGCTTTGCTGACCCTGGGCAAAGGGCAGCCTCAGAAAACTCAGTAAATTGGACTTGGGCTCCCCATGCAAGAGCAAAGCTGTGCCTGCTGCAGGCAGAGACACAGTCACAAACTCTCCTCCTGTGATTGCAGGCTGATGGGGTCACTGTTCACTTGCCTGCCTGCATTTGAAACAGGCAGCAGGACCCAGAGAGCAATCTGGAGGAGACCTGATGGAGGAACACCCCTGAAAATTAGATATCCACTAAGGCCATTATCCCCAGGCTGTGACTACCGTGTGCAGACAGTGAATGTTAGACACTCTGCCATCAAGGACTTACCTTCTGATTTCAACAGTGGGCTTATAGAAAGGGAGAAGGTGGAAATGCTGTTACGTGCAAGGTGTATGAGGCACGCTGCAGTGGCTCAGAAAGGACGAAGGGTGAGAAATCAGTTGCAGACAACTGACTGCCGCCAGGTATACCGCTTTGGAGGGAGGTACCCTCACAGCTCCTATCCACTGAGGCAGCTGACCACCTGAGAACCCACAAAAGCAAAAAGGATGCAGTTGAGATCACACCTATTGCAAAGGGAGAGTCACAAACTGGATCTTCATCATGCACAAGAAGTTCTGGGTTGCCCCACTGGATGCTCATGCTGACAACTGCTGTTCCCTGGGAGAGCTAGTGACTGCCTAAGCCTTCCTTCACCCTGCTTGCCAAGTTAGGCTTCCTATAAACTGCCTCTTGCTGCCATCCAGAAGCTCATGGAAAACACTGAGGAGAGAGGGAAGGCTTTTGTCTCTAAAGAGACAATATTAACTTCCTAATTCAGGGCATGAATTGTTGGAGGCTTCTGAGTTGGTGTAAGAGGGACAGTCATTGCCATAACCTGCTTGGCTGGCCCCAAAGCGCCAAGAGGAAAAGGGGGTCTCTAATAAAAGCATTGGTGTGGCTGGTCTCCCAGAAAGTAGGGGAACATCCTTCATGCCAATGGCAGTGGAAACTCAGCACAGCTCCAGAGCCAGCAGCAATGATTGCAAACTCATTTGCACTGAGCCAAAACCACATCAAGGTAAAATAAGATGTAAATGCTGAGGTTGAAGTTTCACCTCTGGAGAGGGATTCTTCATTAGAGACTAGTGATAGGACAAGGGGTTAAAACTTATCAGGGGAAGTTTAGATTGGATATAAGGAGGAAGTTCTTTCCTGTTAGGGTGGTGAGGCACTGGAATGGGTTGCCCAGGGAGGTTGTGAATGCTCCATCCCTGGCAGTGTTCAAGACCAGGTTGGACGAGGCCTTGGGTGATATGGTCTAGTATGAGGTGTCCCTGCCCATGGCAGGGGGGTTGGAACGAGGTGATCTTAAGGTCCTTTCCAACCCTAATTATTCTATGATTCTATGCTTTGAAAATGTGTCTTTCAGGAGTTGTGCGCCAACCCTCAGTTTATAGTTGGAGGAGCTACTCGGACAGATGTCTGCCAAGGAGAGCTGGGTATGTACAGCACTTCTGAATTCAGCTTTGGGAGAAGAAACAGAAATTCAGCTTCACTTAAAAATTCCTCATACACTGACTATTTTACTGGCTGTCTCCGAGACATAGCATGGAGAGAGGCAGATACCTAAGAAGGGGACTCATGCATTGCTGCCCGAGACAGTGTATATGCGGGCTTGTAAGAGCTATGTCAAACCTGGGAGACATCAAACCATTTCCTGGAGGTAGGAAGCTACTTATCCCATTGTGGGGAGAAGACTGGCTTGCTTTTCACCTCTTGAGGCAGAGCTGGACACCAACCTAATCATGACAGTACTTACCCTGAAGCAAGAGAGTGGGCTTCATGTCCTTTGCAGCAAGAGCAGCTCCAAAGACTCAGGGAACAAGGGACACTGGGGAAGGTTCACCCTGCAGCCTAGTTGTTTGGGAGGCAGAGAAAGCTCCAGCCTTAGTTTCACACAAAACAAATACACAGCCAAGGAGCAGAGCAGGAACTGGTTTAGTCCAGGGGCTGGGGCTATGACGTGCCATTTCATGCCAAGCAGGATAGCCCATCTGCTTGCAGGTGTGAGTTACAAACAAGCACTGCATTGTAAAAAAGGAACAGAGCATGTAAACTTTGTAATAGCATCCATAAGCAAATTGTTCCAAGCTCTGCCTTTGTCTAAACAGAGCTCCTATGCAAGTAGCCAGAAGGGAGCTTTATCCCCCCTTTGAATAGCTGCTGCCGCAGCCTCCTTGCCTGCCTGCCTCGCTGATAAGATCCAGCTCCAGAAGACAGCAGCAGCAACCTCCCCTGACTGCATATAGAGGCGGGAAGGCTGAAGCTGTTGTAATGAGAATTTGATAGATTAGACCCAGAGAAACTGCCTTTCTCCCTCCTGTGCTGCTTACTGCAGTACTCCTGACCTTACTGGTCTTCTAGCCCATCCATTGTGCAAATGAGATACAAACAATTTCTGCAAGTCATTGGCAATAAATAATACCGATGCTGGTCCTGTAAACAGAGCACCATTAAAGCAATTGCTAAAAAATTCCCTGGTGTGTGGGCTTGTGCTCCAAATGCTAAAAATAAGGTGCCCAACCGTACACTTCCTCCAGAGTATTTATTCGGTGGATACTGGAATAGAGGATGGGGAAATCACTTACCGTGTTTTAGGGGAATGGTTCAGGTAAGTAATAAAAGTGACATTTCTTGTCACCTCCAATTTGGGAAGTTTCTATAATTGTGTGTATATATACATATATATATATAAAAGATTGTATGCCTAAAGTAAAACCTCATTTTCCTTGACAGTTTACAAGCTAAAGAACTGAAGAATATTACCCTGCCCTTAAACTAGAAGAGGTCAATGCATTATTTGTGTTGAGCCTAAAAACTGAATGCAAATACCCTGAGCCTCTCTTTTGATTTCTGTCACCTCCTGGATGTCTCTGTGGAGTCCCAGTCCTCTGTGCTAAATGGGCTTTCATTAGAGAGCAGTGCCAAAATCCACAAACTAACTAGCAGTACTGTACCCAGACCTCTGAATCTGGGGCCAGTGCCTGGCTCTAGGCTTTCCCAAGCCAACCTTTGGTGGGCAGTACCCCAAGTGCTAGTCCTGAAAGCTATCCCTTAACCTAGAAGAAAACCCCCAAATCTCCTTTTGTTAGGAGCTTCCTTTTCTCTTGCTTTCTCAAAAATAAAACAATCAAAGATAGAATCATAGAATCACAGACTGGTTTGGGTTGGAAAGGACCTTAAGATCACCTCATTCCAACCCCCTGCCATGGGCAGGGACACCTCATACTAGACCATGTCACCCAAGGCTCTGTCCAACCTGGCCTTGAACACTGCCAGGGATGGAGCATTCACAGCCTCCCTGGGCAACCCATTCCCGTGCCTCACCACCCTCACAGTAAAGAACTTCTTCCTTAGATCTAACCTGAACTTCCCCTGTTTCAGTTTGAACCCATCACCCCTTGTCCTATTGCTATAGTCCCTGATAAAGAGTCCCTCTTCAGCATCCTTGTAGGCCCCCTTCAGATCCTGGAAGCTGCTATAAGGTCTCCATGCAGCCTCCTCTTCTCCAGGCTGAACAGCCCCAACTTTCTCTGCAAGGCTGCTTACATTCACTTTTACATGCACTGACCCTTCACAGAAATAAACTTCAGGCACGGTACTTTCCCTCTAATGCTCAGGTGTTTGCTTTGCATCTCTGAGGCATGCTATGTTTTTTTGTTATTTGACCCAGTACCTTGAATATCAAAGTCCTTTTACTGAAGCCCTCACGTAAAACACTTGCATTGAAATGAACCCTGATTACATATTTACATAAGGCCCGTATGTGACCTGTTAACAAGTACTTTAGGGAAATACAGCCTGTTTTTAATAATCTTCTCAGATACGTTTCTTTTCTTAAAAAAAAAAAAAAAGAATAAAAATTAACACTGCAGGTCTGGGCTTATATGAACAAAAGGAACAAGAAAACCCAGAGTTAGTCTCACTCCATTAAACTTATTTCTTTGACAACAGTGTAAGCTAGATGAATATCAGCTTGGGAAGTTTGATGGGAACTTGAAAGAGGAAATATTTTAAATGTTCTTTGAACCGTGTCTTTTTGATAGCCTAGTAACAGCTTGCAATGCAGTCACATAGTCTCAGTTATTAAAGGTGACTTATGAGGATTTCTTGCAGCTATTTGAGCAAGTTAAACCCCAGAACTGTTTGCAGAAGTTCAAGAAGCAGGTGGCATAAATTTAACTTAAATAATATAAAACACACTCAAACCCTCTCAGTTTAATATTGGCTTTCCAGATCCACGCTGTTCATATTCATGGGCACCTTTTGTCCTGAAGGAGGCTCAGAGGGTACTCCAGACACTGCAGTTCCCTTGGCCTGGGCTGTCAAGAAGTCCCCTGAAGCCAGTGCAGATGCACCAGTTCACACCAGCTGAGGAGCCCACCGCATCCATGCTTTGTTTGTGTCTTAAGGGCAGCTCTGAGAAGATTATGGGTAGACTGGAGAACAAACCAAAGCCTGATAGTTCTGAGATAAATCTGACACCTTCTGAGTGAGCCTTTGGAGCTCCTATAGGCAGGAAAGTGCTTAGTAGTTCTGGGTTTGTTCATTTATTTTGCTATAGACATTAATATGTCTTCTGATGTTCAGTCCCATGTTCCTTGTTCTACATGCCCTAAATCTTGAAAAATATATTCACTGACAACTCTGAGACCCCAAAGAGAAGAAAAGCTGTTCCTTTCCTGGATGCTCCTTTGCCTTTCTGTACACAGCTGCAGAGCTTCATTCATTTCCATAGAAAAATTCAGGAAGCCTTCTTTAGAAATGTCAAAACAGGAACAACCTTTACTGCCAGAAATTATAAAGCTGTATGCGCTTCTTTGATGTCTGCTAGGTTTATGAGCTATGAAGAAGGGCTTCCAGTGAAAAATAAAGCTGAGAATCAAATCTGCTTGACAAACAGAGAAGCAAGAGACACAGTAGTGTATTTGGGTTCCTTCTGAACACCTTCTGAAATAGCAAGAAGCCAGAGTACAGTCTGGAGAGAGATACTTCCGTCAAGGCCAGACAGAAGCCTTGGGCAACATGGTCTGTGGTGAGGCATCCCTGCCCATGGCAGGTGATTGGAACAGGATGATCTTAAGGTCCTTCCCAACCCAAACCATTCTATGATTCTACTGTCCAGTTAGATCTTTGAACCAGGCACTTGGAGTTTTAGCTGAAACTCACCATCACCAGGTCACTGAAGAGTTTATATGCTCTGTGTCTAGACACTTTGATGATAGCTAAACCAGAAACCGAGCATGGCTCTGTAGCAACTGAAACTAATCAGATTTCTCATTTATTTTCTGGCCTCTGCGAGTGCAGCATGCTTGGGTAAACATCATCAATACAGAGGAGTCACTCAGCTCCCAGGTCACTGAGGATTCGGAATTCTCTGCAGCAATTCGATTATCTCTCTAAACCAGGAGGTGCTTGCGTAGCACTGAGAACACGAGCCACCTCCGTACATCTGCGAGCAGCAAGTGATCTTATTTCAGGCACACTAAGACACAGTAATTCTCCAAGATCATGTGGATATATATGTATATATATGCACACACGCAGAGTGAGGCTTCACATTAACCCTTTCCACCAAAAACTCAAGGTCAAAAATGCTTATTCCAATCTATAAATAAATAAATAAATAAATACTGTATGTTACCGACACTATAAATTACTTCAGGTCCAGGAATCGAGCTGGCTCCTTTTTAGCACATTCAGCAGCAATGGTAAACACTGTAATTGGCACTTGTCTGAAAGTTCTGTTCATTAAATATGAGGCTGAACACAAAGCAGTGTATGTGCCTCTAGGTGATTTAGACTTGCAGGGCTAATGGTGAGAAAACTTTGTTAAAAATTCATTTCTATAAGCTGAAAGGCTACGACTTCAAACATACAGTGAGCAGAAATGCTTTCTGATATTGGCATTCTTCTGACTATAACTGGATTGGAAATACATTCTAATTAAATATTTAATTCATTGGCCAATTGGCCTCATTTTTCCTCTTCCTTCAAAAACTAACTTTTTAGGAAAGGAATCAAATAGTTTCCTCACAGTTTGAAACATTACTCACAACCTGCAGCTGAGTCAGGGCAAGTTTGAGTTGTCCTACACAAGCTGCCTTTCTAGGGAGCTTGCGCTTCTGCACTGTCCTGTAGGCACAGCCGCAAACAAAACTGAACTTTCCTGCTGGCAAAATGCTGCTGAACTTTGAAGAAGGGAACATGTACTGTCAACTTGTGCTCTTTTAGAACTGGCAATACATTATCCAGTAGAGCTGAGAAAACTTATTAATAGGCCAGGATCCCATTGTGGTGTACAAGAAGATAAGAGGCAACTTGCGCAGTTTAGGCTCCATGCTGGAAGCTCTTTGATTCCTGCATCCTCTTTAATTCGTCACAGGAGCTTGAATGTCATGCATCACTTGTATATAAATATGTTCCCAAACCATGTGCTCCTAGGCACCCCATGCAAACCTTCATTTTTATCAAGTTACTGCACAGCAGCCGATTCCCAGCTGGTTCCTTTTGGAGCGCATGGTTGATCCTTGTTCAGCCACAAGCTCAGCCAAAGATATTAGGCTCCCAAGCAAGGTTTAGAGATAGGACTCTGCATATTTTCCCAACTCAACTTTTCCAACACATTTCTTTCCATGCGTACTTTGAGCAGACTTGCCCGTAGTGCTTCCCTAGGAAGTTAGATTGCATGGTGTGCTTGCAGGAGGCAGAAGCGCCGATGTCACTCATCCTCCCAGATGCCAAGAAGTTAATTCATACTGTAAGATAGTTGTAAAGGATTTCACGCTGCATTTGGCATCTTATGGAGTTGAGATTCTGGAGTTGTTTAGCTCCGAGTCAGGGAAGTAAATAGCGTATTTAAGGAAATCCGTCTTATTTCACTGACTCTTCTGCCTGATTGTGCATTAATCATACACCATCCTCAGCAAAGCCCAGAGTAGTTTCCCCTTCACTGGCTGTAAAAACCTAGCCTGGACCAGAAAGGGGAAACCCTTACAGGTATTGCACATTGGGAAAGCACCAACTCGTCACTGCTGCAGACCTTCTCTAGTCTCACCATGAGTGGAGCGACACCACAGGGACACCAGGACCACCACCCTGCAACCTTCTGTGCTCCACAGCATGTCAGGAACAGCCAGGGCAGCAAGAAAGTCTGGGGTAGTGGAGAAAATGGGGGCTTAATTTGTAACTTTATAAGGTTTTTCATCTTCCTTCTCTGAAGAGTCATTCCTCAGACTTGTCACCATTATTGCTATCTCTCCAAGCAAAAGGACAAATTATAACAGCATAAGGAATACACCTGCACTAAGGAAAGCCCAAAAGAAGTACATACAAAGCAGATCCGGGTGTTCTGAGCCCTGTCCCACAGAATGCAAAAGAACTTTGAAAATGATTAGGTTGAAGATGAACTTAAGGTTTTTGCTCATAGTTGTTCTAGAGGCTGAGGCTTTTGGATTCTCTTTTCTATATACACAGCAGCAACTCTTCCCCATTTCCAGTTTAAACACATCACAACCCTTTTAGTTTAATTTGTCTGTGCTCCTGTAGAAGACATCTTACTTTTCAAGTAAGAGCTCTTGGCTCAAACAGCTTTTCTGCTCAACCTACCTCACTTCCTCTTCAAACTTCACTTGCATAACATGAGCAGAACAAAACTTCAACCTCTTCTCATAAGAAGGGCAGGTGGAGGGGGAGAAGGAGGTAATCCAGACATTTTTCTCCCCCTTTGTACCTTGAATGCTCTTTCTTGAATGTGGCAGCCAAGATAACACAGAAATCTTGGGGCAAGGCTCAAGCAGCACCTCATATACTAATACTAGGTTTTCCCTACTGATTGGAAACAGAAGGGAAAAACTGGGTACAGGATGGAAAGTGGCTGGCACACTGGGTAGATCACTCTTTTGTACCCATAATCCAATGAGCCAGCTCCAGTGATTAGTTACAGATCATCACACCAGGGCATTTCTTTGCTGCTTGCTAGTCTCTGCTTGCACAGCTGGAAACATCTGTTTGTTGCTCAGCTTGTAAGAAGTACCTGGGTATCACCCAGTGAGTACAGGAAGCAGGGAGCATGAGCACCAGCAAGTCCCCATATCTTGCCTATACAATTATATTCATGATGGCACTATATCATAAAGCCCAAGTCAATAGAAAGAGTTAACTGCTGCTCTAAGATACTAAATCATGCTACAGGCTAAACTCCTTCCTCTGTTTCTCTGCTTAGCTTATTTCCACTGAAGCAAGAGCTATTATGCCAGTTCCTTTTGCAGAATATGCACATGCATAAAGAAACTATGTCTTGGCACAGATAATCCACAGGGAACCAGGAAAATGGACCTTTGGAGCAGTTTTGTTCTCCTAGACTTTCTGCACACCTCAGAAATAACATGGAATCACAAAAGTGCTTCCTACTGTTTGCAGCATGCAAGCACTGTAGGAAACCCAGGAGTCACTTAGATTCTCAGGGGCACCACCTTTCATGTGATAGTAGCTTCTACTTATCCAGCCTCCAATTCACAACAAGCAGGTAACTAAGCCTGCAAACAGCTCCAGTTGCAGGATGCACAGCCTCCAGGGAGGGTGTCCATCCTCACCAGAACAAGGAATGGGCCAGAAGAGATTCACCTCCTTATAGCGTTCCCAGGCAACTTCAGCTTCCATTAGGCTCTTGGGCAAATCTGTAGTAATAGCTCTAAGTGCTGGTTCCAGTTCAGACCTTTGATAAATGGGCTAAGGAAGAATAGCCACCCAAATTTTCCTGCTATCCATCAAATCATCTCCAAAGATAGAAAAGGAAGTCTCACCATCCTTTTATCACCCCAGAGATTTTGCCTTCTTCTGGACACTTTCCAGGCCCTTGCCTCTCCCAGGTGTGGTAGCTTGGGTTTAAAGTACCACAGTTCATTAACACTGTAGTGCCCAGCAGGTTTTACAACCCACATACCCAAAAAGCCTTCTCTCTCTGGCTACATTCTTGATGTCCTGAGGGAATTAACAAGCTTAGATAAAGCAGCCTGCTTTCACAGCATCATTAAAATATCAAAATAGCAAAGCCCAAACTAGACCATCAAAATGACCACCGTGATCAGCCTTAGAGGACCCAAGATACCTGTGCAGTCTGGGTGGGTGGAAAATGAGCAAAAGAGATAAACAACAAAACAGAACGGATTGCAGAACCAATATTGAGTCTGGCAGGACCTTGCAAAGCTCTTAATGCTGGCATTCAAGTCTAGAGAGAAGCGTGATATAATGGTGTAAGGCTTAACTCAGCAAACTCTTATTTATAAAAGAACTTCTCTGCCATGTATCATATGTGGTTTTAGGTGACTGCTGGCTCCTGGCTGCCATTGCCTCTCTCACTTTGAATCCAGACATTCTGTACCGCGTTGTTCCCAAGGCTCAGAGTTTCCAGAGGGACTATGCCGGGATCTTTCATTTTCAGGTACCTATATGATCAGGGTATTGAGAATAAAAAAGGAAAATTCTAGTATTTAGATAAACCAGGGATGGTTTTTGTGTGTGTGTGCAGGCTAAATATTCGAGAATTAAACTGTTTAAGTGAAATTGGTGGGGGAGAGGGAAAGAAAAGAAGAGCACAGTTAAATAATGCTACATGACACCTGCTTACTGGCTAGGTTCTGCTGTCTTACAGCTGATAGGGCTGAGTGAGCTATACAGGGTTTATAAACTGAGCCAAACCATCATGCCACATGAGTCAAGCCAAGCTCTGTTACTGCCAACTGTCAAGAGTGAATTCAGGCTCATGTGGTTCCTTCTGCCTCTCCTTCCCTTCCCTCCCTGTGGCTCTGCCTGGATTTCCTTACCTGTAGACTCAGTTTATTGAGGCTGAGGCAACCTGCTTTGACTGGAGGTTAGGCTCAGGTGTGAGCAATATGGATTCATTCTGCAAAGATAAAGGAGATGTTTTGGTGAGGACAGATGTTATAGAGCCCACACCTATTCCTTTCACCAGCTCATCTCAGCAGAGGGGGTTATTATGTGAGTTATCTTCTTTCCTTTCAGGACTGCATCAAATTATGGAGTGTTTCTAGAGTTCAGGCAAAAAGTTAGCATTAGGAATGTTTCACACATTTCCCAGTATTTTCAGAAGGGATTGGCACTACTGAGGCCTTTTGGGTGACCTTTCCTTGCAGCAGTTTTACAGGGGCATGGTTGTTTTATTTTCCTGTGGATTGGGCCTTAAAAGAGTAGACAAGAAAAGGCACTTTAGAGCATTCTGATTTGGATACTCTGAATTGATTTGAATTGGAACCAGCACTTAGAGCTATTACTACACACTAGCTTTCCGGCCTCGCCACCAAGGAGCTCAGACAGTGTTCCAAGTGTAATGTGCAACAAGTGGCTGTTAATATTACCTATCAGCAAAATTGAATAGGTTAAAAGCCTGCTCAGTGCTTTGCAGGGCTGAGAAGGGTTTGCCTCTATTACAAGGGAGAGGGGTCCAACACAGGAACAAAACCTTACAGTGACTTATCCAGGGGGAGCTGATGACAGGTGAAGGGATAGGAAGATAATAGCGTGGAGCTATTATGTGCACACCAGCCTCCATTACCTTTTCCTGTCTTCTTTCCATCAGTTCTGGCAGTACGGGGAGTGGGTGGACGTCGTGGTGGATGACCGGCTGCCCACCAGGAACGGGAAGCTGCTCTTCGTGCACTCGGAGGAAGGCAATGAGTTCTGGAGCGCGCTGCTGGAGAAGGCGTATGCCAAGTACGGTGCCTAAGCAGGAGCAGCACTCCTGGTGTGCAGAAGTTGACTGCCGAAGTGGTTGTGGTGTTAGACACAATGCAGTACACTCAAATGCAGCCTCCATTCCATTCGTTATTTACTTATCTAGGTCCATAAAGGGTATTGCCGGCTGTCTGTTTCAAGGGGTTTTACTGCTGGTGCTCCAGGTCACACTGATGTCTGATACTAAATAATAAACCCTTCTTTTTGCAGTGCCAATGCTTACAGGTGGAGATGGCCCCTGATAAAGCTCTTGTCATCTCTCCCCCAGGTTGAACAGCTCTTATGAAGCTCTCATAGGAGGGTCCACTATAGAGGGATTTGAGGATTTTACTGGAGGCATCTCCGAGTCCTATGAACTGCGGAGGGCTCCTTCAAACCTGTATCAAATCATCCAGAAGGCTCTGAGAGCTGGGTCGCTGCTTGGCTGTTCCATCGATGTAAGACACTGCTGCTGCTTTACTCTCCTTGCTCTTCTTCTCAGGGCTCTGGTTTATACTGCAACAAAAGCTCAGACCAATGTTAGACATAGGTAGGAAGAAGGTATGAAGTAAAATCAAAGTCTAATTAATGGGAGAATTTTATTGATTTCAGCTATAAAGATGTTGGACTAAGTACTAAATAACCAACTCTCACCATGCCTCCCTTTTTACAAGCATGTGATAATACTTGGAGCCATGGCATGAACTGTGGACTTCCCACACTCTGTTTTCATTCTCCAAGTATCATTTCTCACTCAAATTCTGTGTAATTTCAGCTCCAGACCCTCTACTGCCAGAGACAAACTCTTTGAGATGTTTTCTTGTAGCCTGTAGTCTGACTCCGCCTTTGGTTTTCAGTCCTAAAGATTATTAACACATGTAATACCAACTCTCTCAAGTTACAGATGATGTTTGTACGTGTTACCGAAACTTCATGCCTTTCACATCCTGTTTCCTTATCCTGGTTGAAATCCTGATTCATGGCATATAAGATTATTCAAATTATTCAAAGTTTGGTATGTTGGATCTCAGCTGAGGCAGACTAGATCTTAGTTTGCACGAACTTGTCTTTGCAGGTGACTGGGTCTGTTGCCTAAGCTGGGAACTGGATTTAGATTTAGATTTCATTGAATTTCTGCTGTGCTAGGACTGCATATTTAAGGGCTGGAACCATAGAGATGAACTTCTGCTGTGGATCTCACCTCTATTTAATATACTTTGCATCAAGAATATTGATATTCATTGTGCATACTGCTTTGGATATCTTTCCCTATATTCATTTGCTTATGAAAGCAGAGTTCATGTACAGTATGTAGTCCTAAATGAGTATACTTTCATAACCCCAGATAACATCTGCATCTGAAATAGAAGCAATCACAAGTCTGAAGTTGGTAAAGGGACATGCTTACTCTGTCACTGGAGCAGAAGAGGTAAGCCAGCCCCTCGAGGGCCATCATACCAGCCAGCTTGGGCTTGCAATACTACACTGCCTTCAACTTTCTGATGTCTTTCTGTGACTGACCAAATAAATATGTAGCTCACCCGTGCATGCTCTTACAGTGAAAGGAAAGTATCTGCAGTACTTAGTCAGGTCAGAAGCTTTGTACTAGTAGTTACATACAGTATCTATAGTATATATACTCATATATGTATAGTATATATAGAGTGCAGTCTTCAACTTGTGTTGTACCAGCAGACTGGCATGCAAAATGTAAAGGTGGGCCAAGCTGTAACTGAAATGGAGGGTACAGAGAGGAGAAACAGAAGAGGCAGCCTTTTCCCCATGTTTGTACTTCATGAAGTGGGAGTGTGTACTTTGCCAGTCAGCACTAATGAGAAAGGAGTAAAAGCCTCTTTCAGGAACTGTGCCATTAGTCTCACCTTCACAGTGAGCCCTAGGCACTCCTGCTCATCTGTAAACCGAAATCCTTACAGAGGTGCCCATGCCAAATAACCTCTTCCCAACCTCGCTGTGTTGTGCGATGTCTCCTGCTTTTGAGGACATAGATATTCTGCTGTTTTGTAGCTGATGTTTTTCCTTGCAGGTTGCTGTCATTATATGAAACGGTGAGTGCTGCAGCTAATGGCTCGTTTGGTGGCATGGGATAATGTAAAATAAGGGTGGAAGGTGTCTATGTGTCTTCTAACTTTAGCAAATTGTAATTGACGGCATCACTCAAGTACAAATCATGTGTTATCCAGTCTGAAAAGCAATTGTCCTGTGATGGAAGTGCTCACACTCTGCTTGTTGTGGATCTTTTAGGTATATTACAGAGGACGGCTAGAGAAACTAGTGAGGCTTAGAAATCCCTGGGGTGAAGTGGAGTGGACTGGAGCTTGGAGTGATAAGTAGGTTTTTATATGCCCCTACTTCTCTCTCTTCAGTGTATTTTGGTATGTTTTAAAAATTAAATTGGGACGATGGAGTTAATCCAATCACAAAGCACATTTAGGGGAGATACTGAATCAGTTGGAATAAAACACTATTAATTTATTAGCAGGGTTAGATACTGATCTGCTCTGCCCAGCGGACATTCTTCCCTGCCTCACGCAGAGCTATCTGATAAGAGCGAACAGCCCATGTTTTAACTGTGAGCCGACCAACACAAGCCGTATCCACATCATTTTGCAAGATAACTTTTCTCAGGTTGATCTTACTGATGGTGCCAGGACCTTAGAAGAATATGCAAACCAATCCCATTCCTGGGAATTACAGCAGGGATCAATTATTGTGCCCTTGCTTCAACTCTAAGGTTGCTTGGCTCTAAAGCAGACCAGTTTCTACTGGAGAATCTTAAAAAAATGGGGATGTTGACTAAAGCAAAGGACCTAGAAGTTTGAAGATCTCTCAGAAACTGTCCGGGCTTCCACTATCCTGGAATCCAGGAAACTGGCAGTGACAACACCTCTTTATTTTTGTATTTAGAATGGTGTAAATTGCACTTTAATTGAGGCCACAATATATTTTTTCATGCAGCACTTGGAGATTCCACTTTCCTCTCCTGACTGACTGACTGCAGTCCTGGTGCTGATGTTGTATCACACTTAAGGACAGAAAACAGAGATAAACATTACAATTATTCTTACCTTTACCAGAGCTGCTTTGCTCAGCCCCAAGTTAAGATGCCTCAGGCATGCATGCATGCCATATCCTGATTTTATTAGGCCTGTTTTATCATGGCACAGCTCTGCTGAGGCAGGTACAGAACTGCATGGACGCATGGGAGCAGATCAGAGCAGAATCCAGCTTTTGCTGCACTTGAACATCAGGATGGGAAATGAGCAGTGATGTTTTCTGCTGTGCTAATTCCACTGTTTTGCTTTCTTCTTTTTGTGGCTCCAGCAGCAGAGCTTCTATCATTTCCCTAGGGAGACTCTCAGGCATCCCAATAGATCTTACAGTGGAGAAGCTCTGCCTGACTTTCAGGCTGCATGTTATCTAATCCAGCCAGTCTGAAATATTTGTACATTCTGGCTCCTGGCAGTGATGATTCAGCTTAAGGCTTATTTGCTGCATATATGGTTGCAATGTGATTCCAGCTGCAGATAGTCAGGTTGCGGTGTGTACTAACATTGAGAGGGGCAGAAGGTCTAGTTGCTGAAGAAATACATACTCCTTGGTCAGCTGTAACCAAAGAGAGAGCCTAACCCTCTGATCTTGTTGTAGAATGAAACACAACAGCTTGCTTTTGTGTTTTGTCTGCAGTGCTCCTGAATGGAATTACATTGATCCGAAACAAAAACAAACTCTGGATAAGCAAGTAGATGATGGAGAGTTTTGGTGAGAGCTGTTTATTTAGATTAACCTTTTGGGCATTGTGCATGCATGTGTGCTCTTTAAGCAGACCTTTCAGTTGGGTGGAGAGAAACTGCCAGCACCAAGTGGGTTAATAATGACATGCATGCATTGTTAGACTCGTGTTTATCTTCCTTCCCACTCAAATATTACCTTTTATTAGAGCTTGCATAATTCAGTGCTTATACAAAATATAGAGACCAGATGGTAATAAAATTAATGAGGTGGCAAAAATGAACCTCAGCTGCTCTACATTTTGAAGTTTATTTTTTTGCCTAAATGCTACACACTAATGAAAAGGTTTAGAGTACCAGCTTGGGAAGAGTCTGTTTACCCAGACCTAATGGAAAGCCCATCCCACTTAGTTGATTATATGGATCAGTACTGAGCTCATGTCACTCTGTCCTAGACTGGGAAGATAAACGGCCACCATCTTGTAGTGCAATCAGCTATACGGACCATAAGGCACTGAGAAATGAGAATAGACCTCTGCTTGCGGCATGAAGTGATCAATGACTGTCACTCATGCAGACGTACTAGGAACGCTAAAAATAAACATCAAACCATAGGATTAAAGCACAACACCAGACTGAAACTGTTCTTCTACAGTGTGACACTTTCATAAGGGCCAATTTTTGCTCTTGTTAAATGGCACCTCCATGCACATTTTCCCCACTAGTTTTAGTAAATGAAGCATGATCATAAGGGATTGCCCACTGCTGGTGATGACAGAAAATGGTATGACTGAGCCCCGTACGTGTAACAGCCATTGACAACTGTCTCCAGGACACACAGCTCATTAAAGGAGCAGGAAGTTTGTCTCCCAAAAGCCAGTTCCAAGATTCAGAGTTCAATTAAGTGTGGCTTTGGGCAGGTCTGTAGTACTGATGTTTGCTGCCCTGTTGGGAGAGCCATCCATTCGCAGTTGCCTTGACTGTTGAGGCTGATGGACTAACCCCAGTCTTTTTGTGTGCCAGGATGGCGTTTTCAGATTTTCAAAGGCAGTTCACCCGGCTTGAGATCTGCAACTTGACTCCTGACACTCTGACAAGCAACGAGGTCAATAGATGGGACCTGACCCTGTTTAATGGGCAGTGGAGACGGGGTTCAACTGCTGGGGGCTGCCAGAACTACCAAGGTGGAGACCCAGCTAAGTGGTGAAAATACCAACCAAAACACTAAAAAAAAATACATGCTTGTAAACTGGAAGGGGCTTCGATGGGAAGGGCTTGGAGGTGCAGCCCTTTCTGTGTGGTTTAGACTGTAAGCAAAAGCTTGGCAGTTTAAATGAAGATCTAATTCACACTTATTTCCTCATGAGGGATTACCAACACTCTAAGCAGTTAATTCATGGCTGTGTTCTTTTCTTTTTTCTCTGTCTGCTTTTCCTGCTTACGTGGCTTTTGCTGCTGACTGGAGCAATCCCCCAAAGGGTTGGGCAGGCCAGGAAGTGTCACAGTTCAGTGGCAGTGTTGTTTTCCATTCATTCTCAGGTTAGATCTCTGGAGGAGAGGCTGTCTGGCTTTTGATTCTCTTGCAATAATAACAGCCTTGGCCAAGGATGTTTCCTAGAGATAAATGACTGTCTGGAATTAATGATATCAACTCCTCCCTGTTGGTTATTAGTCCCCAGAAAATACCTTGGTGCTTTGATTTGTCACGGCTCAAACTGATATTCAGCAAAACCCCATATAACCTAATGGAAAAGACTGGGAAAACTCCAAGCAAAAGTCCTTCCAAAGAGATATTCTCTATAACCCTAGTGACAGCTATCTTGGCCACAATGACATCAAAATCTTCTTCTTTATGTCTCACCTTGGGTATTCTTAGCAACATACTGGACCAATCCCCAGTTTAAAATCCGGTTGGAAGAACCAGATGATGACCATGAAGGAAGTCTGAATGAGCCATGCTGTACCATACTGGTAGGCTTGATGCAGAAGTACCGCAGGAGACAGAAGAAGATGGGAGAAGCTCTGCTTAGTATTGGTTATTCGCTCTATGAGGTAAAGTTTGTTCCTGCTTGAAGGCTTTAGTCCCTGTTCAGTTATGCAGGAAAAAAATTAGCACTGTGCTACATCTTGACACTCAGCACTACACTTCAATAAAACTGGGTTTTGCAAGATGATTCAAATCCTCTCATTTCTTCCTGACCCATATAATATGGGAAGATTCAGATAAATTTAGGCTCAATTTTTGTCCCACTTTAACAGGAGAGCAGTGTAAAACTGGAGGCAGTAATTTAGCAACAGTCTCATTGAAAGCCTTCTCTTACAAAATCTGAATGGGGGCAGGCTCAGGGTGCCTGGCAATTCCAGATAAATGTTTCTGATTACAGCCTATGGTTACTGCTCAGTAGTCACTTTCTTTTTTCTTCTTATTTTCCCCTCGTATTTAAAAACTGTTTTCATTCATTGTCTCCCATGGTATTGTTCTGGTTCAGTATTTTTTTTCCCTTCTTTCTGGCAAAAGAGGGTTTTTTTTTGATTGTTCCAGTGTTGCTTCTATCTCTAAAAATATAATGTAGGGAAAATCTACAATATCACCTCTAATTTCTGTGATGTGAGAGGAGAGTAGAAAATACAAAAATTTCCAACCAGTAGTATCATTCCCAATATCGTGTCTGGAGACAAGCAATTAAATGTTGTATAGATTCTTACTGGATGAAGATCATTAACCAGCACAGGTGGGAGCAGATGGGAATGGCTGGCTTTTGCTAATATATCTTGTGCAGCATGGGTCAAAACTAAGAAAGGTTTTCCCTAGTGCCTAAGTGTCTGCATACACAAATGGTTCTCACTGAGCACATTTCTGAGTTGCCATCTGTGTGGTACCAACCAGCCCGGCCAATTGGCATCCTGAATTTACACATTTAGGATGTTTGTCTGCTCATATCACTGAGTACAACCCTGGAGAAGTTAGCAGAGCTTTTTTGCTTTACATCTATTTCATCCCATCTGCCTCCTCTGTGAATAGCAGGGTAGACTTGGTGGCTCTTAGCAAGATAAAGACTTCCTTTTGAAAGACATTGCTGAAAAGTTGTCTCATCTAGACATCCAGCTATGATCCATGTTACTTCGGCCATGCACTGTCGTAGATTTACATCATTGCAGCTGATGCTGTGGCTGAGGAGGCCCAGTTAGGACAGCATCATGGTGACCTAAAGCAGATCTCTGCAAGGGAAGGTGAAGAGATGAAAAGATGTTTAAGTCCACCTGCCCTTCCGTATGCTGTAAGTCAAACAGCTCAAACTGCCTACTGACAATAACTGTGTGTCCTTCACCGAGCTCCTGGCCTTCTAGTATGCTAATTTTAAGGAACAAGACCTGAGGTTTTCAGGAGCCATCTCAGGCTCCACAATGATTGTATGGGTGATATTTTCAAAAGATGTTTTGGGACTTGGGACAATTCTCTCTTTGGCTCTCACTGGAGTCTGTGCTTTCAGGACAACCAGTTGGTTTTGGAAAAGCTACCCTGCATTCATAGGTAAATCAACACAGCAGTGTAGTTAGTTTAGGAAGGGCCAAATAATGAAATTTGTTACTTGTTGTAATTGCCTTACAACAATCTCCTTACCCTCAGGTTAATTGCTAGTGGTGCTGGCCTTCTATTTTCATCATATTGCAGTAACAGTAGACTTTAGATTCCAGGTGTGTAGTGATAAATCCTCAGTTTGCTTTTGGTTAGCAAAGTGGGGCTAACTTGTTGACCTTCCTGACTGAACATTTAAAGGCTTACCCAAATACTTCCAACCAATAGTACTGTTGATACCACCATACTGGGAGTAAAGCAACTAAACGTATAGATTCCTCTAGATGAAGATCCTCTTTTTCCTTTGGAACAGCTGTTGCACAAGCTAGAACTACATGTATAACTGATACTGCAATATGTGGTTGTAAATGAAAATGATAAAAAAAGTGTCTGAAGGAGGCTTTATCTGTGCTTTTTGTTTAGTTGGTTTGTTTGGTTTTTTTTTACCCTAATGACAGATGCAGGTATGTAGCAGCCCTTTAACATTGGTTCTTTCTCTTGCTTTCAGATTCCTCACGAGGTACGTAATCTCTGCTGAAGATTTCTACAATCCAGATGGACACCTCCTGTTGCACTGGAGAATTTAGCTACCAGGAAGACTTTGTTCTTGGCTCACTGGACCAGTATCTCAAGTTCTAAATAACTATTTCCAAGGCACAAGGCTTTATTTACAGATATCTGAGTCGCAGCCTTGACTTCATTTATACTCTTTGAAATCTGGCTTCCACTGAGCTTGTGTAACAGAAGTCAGAATTCACCTATGTAGTACAGGTGAAGGCAGAACAGAATCTGCATTTTAAAACTGAGAAAACATAGCTAATGTTGTTTAGAAGAATTCCAAACTCTGTGATAGCGAACAAACCCCACTCAACCTTCTCTAATCCTCCCAGATGTCAATACTGAGGTAAAGAGACTTTTCATTCCAGAAGAGACCCCAGGGGTGTCTGACAGTAATAATAGCCTGTACTCATTACGGAGGTCCAGCAGCCTGTGCTGCCAAATTTTCTTGGCTTTTCAGACATTTTCTTCTCTCTCAGTAAATGAATGTGTATTCATCTAGCAATTAACTGTGTTCTTTTAACAGCCTTGCAGATGCAGAGGGAAAATGAACTTTATATAATGGAAGAGATATGGATCTGCCTTCTTAATCTTTGCAGTCTCACTTAGCTTAAGATTGAGTGAGGAGAAAGGATGGGGCTGTTGAATAAATACCAAATCCAATCTTATCTTCAGAAAAAATTGGAAAAAAAACCCAAACATATTTTTCTACAGTTTACAGCAGAAAAACGGAATGATTATAAAATGATTGGTAACATCTTTGTATGCTTTGATCTTAGGCAGCCTGAAAACCCTACCCGTATGCAATATTCCCCACCCATTGTCAACCACACAGCACTTTTTGTGGATCACTGAATCACACTCTTTGAAAGACATCCGTGTGGAGAAAAAGTCATGAATAGGAGGTTTATAGCAGAGATGTTATTCTTACACTGCGGTTTCTTCTTACATCAGTGTTTTGTTTTATGAGCTACTCAGTGTTTCACTTGCTTAAGAATATATTGGTATTAATGAAAAGTTAAGCACTATTTTCTGCATAATCCAAATGAATATCCTTAGTATTCCTTATAGAAGTTGGGTAAATCATCTCGTGACCCCAAAAGTCTCATCCTTGTGACTACTGCTTTGTCCTGTTTACTGTTTTTTCTGTCTGTTAAAGAAATCAGAGATGACAACTCCTGTGTAATTAAGAGATTTATCCCATGCCATAAATTGCTCAAAAATACCCTGCAATTTAAATTTGTGCACTAGCAGCCTGTGAAAGCAAAAACTGCTCAATACATGGACAGCTTGAGTATGGTTTGACCAGATATGAGGATACATTATGGTCTTTTTATTTATTTTGTATTACAGTTTGTGAAGAGGCATATGAAAAAATAATCTTTATAGAGAAAGATCTTTACCTCTTCTAATCACCTGCCTAACTGTTTCCTATAACAGAACCCTGGTGGTTATCTTTTATGCCGTCACTTGCGAATTTATTATTTTATGCTAAGGAATTTAAAGCAGTGAAATTGAAGGAGGGTCTCTGGCTTACCAGTGAATTGTCAAATAGTTTCTAACAAACACACATTTCCCAACAGCTGGAAAACCACACAGACATTCATATGAACCGTGCTTTCTTCGCACGGAACCAACCGGTAGCCCGCTCTGATCCTTACATCAACCTGCGTGAAGTCTCGAGCCGCATGAAGCTGCCCCAGGGCGAGTACCTCATTGTGCCATCCACTTTTGAGCCTTACAAAAACGGAGAGTTCTGCCTGCGAGTGTTTTCTGAGAAGAAGGCTAAAACACAGTGCGTACCTTCTCTGTAAAGCCTCCTTTCCTGCTTGCAGGGCACGTAAAGGAGAAGGTCAGGTGTTGCACCCACATCCTGTGCTCTATCTTTTCTCTTTACCAGCAAAATAAGCCCATTTAGAATAGTTAGAATCATAGAATAGTTAGGGTTGGAAAGGACCTTAAGATCCTCCAGTTCCAGCCCCCCTGCCATGGGCAAGGACAACTTCTAGGACCTATTTTCTCATATAGTCTACCATACATGTGCACACCCATGGTAGAGAGTCATGGCTCTTAAGGTGGCCTCCCACCCAGCACTCAAGTGGTAACTAGATCCCTCAGGTCTGTGACATAGGAGTTCCCACACTTAAAGGGTGCAGGATTTGGGAATAAGATGACGAGGAGGTGGTTTTAAGAAGGGTTTTATCAACAGCAGCCACTGAATGAAAAACCTGGGGTCTGGATACAAGAACAACAAGGCTGGATTTCTCAAGGAAAATATCTTCAAAGAGGTGGGACAGACAGAAGTGGAGAACTTTGGAGGCAGGAAACCTGTGCGTTCGTTAACAGCTTATATTAAACCCAGCTTCTTTTGCTAACTATTTTAAAGGCAAATGGCAGAATTATCATTTCTGGTTGTTTTCTTTCCCCTTTTTCCTTAGGATAATAGGTGATGTGGTGTCTGCAAAACCATACGAGGTAAATGTCTTAACTGGGAGGACCATTTTTGATTTGTCTTATCAGACTTCTCCTTCATAATGCGGGGGCAAAACAGGGGCAAGGTTTTAATTTCTCCCTGACCTGGGATCACAGTATGTGTTCGTGCTCAGGAAAAATATTTTTTGGGATATTTATTCATGTGACATATTTATGGGGATTCTTTACATATCTCCATGTCTTAGTTTCATGTGCATTTTCACGTACCTGGGACCTTGGGGCACAGGAACTGGACCCTTGTAGGCTGGGCTGGAACACATTAAATTGCTCTTCCATCTAGCACAGGTAGGAGGAGGCAGTGGGGGCACAGAATGGTCCTATCCATAGAAACAAATAGTCTTCCTGAAATCGCAAAAGCAGACTGCCAAGGAGCTGCTGAACTGCTTTGGCCAGAGGCAGCAGCGTTTTCACTGCTGCTATTTCATAAAACTGGCTTGGTAGCAGAAGAAAACTTTTACATCAGTCTCAGAAAGTATTTACTCCCAGATGAAGCCAGCCCCTGGCTGACTGTGATTTAAGCAGTGCCTCTGTTGCTGCAGAGCAAGTGCTCATTTTCCTTTGCTGTAAATAGTCCCCTGTAAAGCTGCTTTACGATATTCACAGCTTGCTTTCCAGAACCTTGTAAACCACACTCTCGGTCATCTCTTTCCTCTAGCCTCATGTTGATAACAAAGATACAGATGATGAGTTCAAGGCTCTGTTTCAAAAGCTCTCTGGAGAGGTAAGTGGATTAAAGTGAAAGAAAAAGATTGGGACCTCTCTGTTACAATTATGCAAATATTTGACTTACTGATTCCTTTTTCTGCCTGCTCTCCAGAAAATCAAGCAGTTCTCTCTTTTTATTACGTCACAACTTCAGTTCCATTTCTTTTTCAATAGAGCAGTTTTACTACAATGTTCTTCTTATTGGTGCAGAATGGGATTTGTTCCCTCGGTAATGCAGGGCATGGGATAACTTTGAAAATAAGGGTGATAGGAGTGAGGACTGTGGAAATACTGTCCCAGGGTGAAATAAGTTACCTGTGGAGTTACTGTATAATTCTGACAATGACCTCGTTGGCCAATTCCTTCCTTTTTGTTTAGAAGCCCCGCGCATTGGGAAACTGTTGGCTGAACTTCCTCTCTGTTTATTGTATTTGACAAACAATACCTACGAAGCCCTGTTGCACTACCCTGTGGCTGTCACGTCAGATTTCCTCTTAACGAACAGGTGGCCACTGGCACTGGAGAGGGAAAACATCTTCTTAGTTCGAAAGGCCTTTTCGAGTTTTGAAAGGGCAGTTTCAGTATTGTTTGATTGGTAGTTCCTATAAGCCTGGAAAATCTCAAATCTCAAATGATTTCTCAAACAAGGAAAACTACAGTCACCCAATTCAGTCAAACCTGTTATAAAATTAACATTTACTGGGTCATGGCACCTAACAAAACACTTACTTTCCATTTGAAAGTGTAGGAAATAGAGTTTCTAAGGATCTCCTCCATGGAATGTATGATGGTCAATGTGAACTATCACAAAACATTAAAGGTTTACCTGCCTTAGATACAGAAGGAAAATGGTCTCTGGCTGTCTGACAGCAAATGAATATAGCTTGTTTCAAAAGTTGTTTTGTATTAACACTTCAAGTATGTTTTCTTTTCTGTCCAGGACTGTGAAGTGACTGCAATTAAACTTAAGACTATCCTAAACCAGGTTTTGGCTAAAAGTAAGTAATGTTATATAGTTCCCATTGAATAGAGCTGAGAAGCACATGCTGAAATAGCAAGGCATAAAGTGGCTCTTTGGTCAGTGAACCTCTGTTCTTGGGTCCATCAGCACACGAATTGGATCTGTGCTAACAAAACCCAGCTCTATCAGCTAAGGGGAATGAAAAGCTGAGTTTGTGTCTGAGCTCAGTGTCTCTTGCGTTGTTGAACGTCTAATATGGGGGTAAAAAATATCACCTGGTGCTCCCATTCCAAGCCAGCTGATCTCCTGCAGAGGCACTATATTCCCTGTATCTTCTTGGGACGACAACCATGGGAAGGTATCATTATGCTGCTGCATAATTTCTGTGGGCAAATAGGGGCTTACCACCCCCAAACCCAATATCATCCCCTTGCCCCTCTGCCAAAAAAGCCATGTTAAATCAGCTGAAGGAAAATAGTGGAAGAAATGGCAGAGCATTCACTTTGATTATAAGATTTTCAGAAGACTGACATTTCCAGGATTGTCTGCAGGAAAATATTTGTCCAAAAGTATTCCTGACTTGGATTTTTACTTCCTTCTTGTACAGGAAAGGATATTAAAAGTGATGGATTCAACATTAACACTTGCAGAGAGATGATCAGCCTTTTAGATGTATCCTTTGAATATCAGTTCGTCACCTTTAAAGTCTCTGGATCTCATTGCAAAACTTCCTGACAAGATGGGCTAAGTTTACATTTCCATTGTCCAGGCACATGGTTGGAGGCATAAAATTCAGTCAAGCAGCTCTATCGGCTCCGAGTGGCAGAAACCTGAACCACGTAATCATGAGCTGCTTCTCTCACCTGCTCTGCACCTCTCATTGCTTAAACTTTTTCCCTAAAAATAGCAGGGGAAGAAGCAGGGACCTTCTGCCTGGATGCATCTGTGCAGTTTCAGATGCATACACAGTGTGCTTGGCAGGAGGCAGGTTTTAAGTACAACCTCAACCTCTAAGCCAGGTACTGCTTATAGAGCACAGAGCTCAAAGCAGCAGAGACAGGCTGGAGAGCCTCTTCAAAGGGGGAAGTCTACAAGTACATGCTGTGCCTCTCTTCGTTCTGCATAGCTTGTAGGACACATGGCAGCTAATACAGTTTGCGTAGCCAAAGGAAAAGGAGAGGTCAGCACATGTGCCCAATACTCCCTTGATGTGCTGGGAAGGTAGCCAGTGTACTGGGAGGGTCAAGAACCATGCTGCAATTCTGTTGTTGGCCTCATGGTCATGTTGAGGTCAGCAGTGGATCTTGTGGATCACTCTCTGTTAGAAGTGAGGCCTTTGCCCTGCACTCCAGTCTCCCAAAACCACCAGGGCCACTCAGCATCATGGGGGCCAACTCCCTCTTTCTGAATAATTCTCCATAGGAAGAAATATTCAAGATCCTAAAGGACATGGGGGAAGACTCTGTAGCCTACTATTGCCTCTCTCTGTTCACTGCCTCTGGTTTCTGACACTTTGCTGAGAGGCCAGTCCTCTTTTTCCCTAAGGATTCTAATCTGCTGTTAACTGTGCAAAATGCAAGTGGATCTCATCATGCTTATATATTTAGCAATCCCATATATCATTCCTTGAGAGTGCAGATAGCCTAGAAATTCTTGGCATGCCTTTAGCTAAGCAAATGTAAAGCTGTAGGAGTGTCTGTGTGAGATGGAGATGCATTCCAGATGAGAACTAATGGCATTAAGATGACACTGTGACGCATGATTTACTTTTATCGGTTAGTTTTGCTAAGGATAGAGGAATCCTGAATTTGTGAACCATGCCTTAACATGGCCCAGACCAATGGGACTGGCACCCTGGGACTTGTAGAGTTCAAGACACTTTGGATGAAGATTCAAAAGTACTTGGTAATAATATTTCTGACTGTCTCCCCTTCCTTCTCAGATCTGAAGTACAGATCCAGAACTGAGATAGGGTTAAGCCACCACAGGCAGATGTACTTGGAAGCCTTCCTTCTCATGGCTGGAGTTTGTTCCAGGGCTCAGAAACACTCCTGATTTAAAAGGGCATGAGCAGGTCCTCTTTCACCTTGGCCCCACCGCACTCCGTAATTTGTAATACCTTATGGAAAGCCAGATTAACCCTCTTTCATTGCTGGCAAAGACAGTTCTCTTGGCTGCCTGCTGTATTAAAGCTCATATGAACATATTTCTGCTGTTGCAGTATGTTACGTTGCCAGCTGAGCCCCAGCAAACACAAGAAACACAATTTTTAGGACCTACAAGAACCTGGCTTTGTATTTTTAAGGTTTTTAAAGTGCTGAATTAGTTTTCTGGCAGAGGATTTAAAATCCAAGAAGTTCACCCAGAATCAAGCAGTCTGAAGGAAGGTCAAGTTTGGACCTGCTTTCTTTGACAACATGCCTTTCAGGCAAGACTGCTGCTACTGTTCTTGATTCAGGTCAGCACAGAATGTCTGTCCTGGAGGTTCATGAAGGAATGATGGGCTCATGAAGCGCCATATGGATTCTGGGGCTGGTATCAGCAGAGCAAGCCCTGAGAACCGAATCTAGTCTGAGCTGTAGGTCTGTGTGGCATCTAATTCTGGGTAATAAACCTGCTGGCAGTAGGAAGCATCTGTCATCATGTCTGAAATACTAAGCAAAATGGACTCTGTCTGTGGCAGTGTTTGCCAAATGATAGAATATTTTCCTCAATGGCCTGTCTGCCACCATGTAACGTGGAGGCAGGCAGGCTGGCTGCCAGCCCTTGGGAATGTGTTTCCCGGTCTGCCTTGCTTGCCAGCAACTACTTGAAGCATCCCAGGGGCTCATTAATGTTTCAGAGAGTAGGAGCTTGGGCTGGTAGGGGCAGCCCCTGTCCCAGCCATCAGAATCCGGAGGCACAGCAGAGTGATGGTGTGGGCACAGCAGAGGTAGGTATGATTGTCCTGGTGTTAATCTAGCTACATGAACAGGGAGGATGGCAGGGCACAGGCTGCAGGATGGACTAATAAACCAAGGTTAAAGCCTGGAGTAGCCCTGATTGTTTCAGTCTGGCTGCTAAACCCTTGTGAGCCTGTGCTACCATGTCTTCACTGCTGCTGTTATGCAGCTATGAAAGCCAAAGCCTGCCTGACTGTGCATTGCTGTGGAGGCACACGCTGAAAAGCTGTCTCCTCATTCCCACATTCCCCTCTGCTGCAGGAAATCTATAAGAGAGTGGACAGTGACTACTCTGGCACCATAGACTCCCACGAGATGCGAAATGCCCTCAGAGAGGCAGGTGAGTACACTGCTCGGAGACACCACTGGATCATCAAATATTGGAAGAATGTGAAGGTTTTTAGAGGCTCAGTTTCCTTCTCATCTCCTAGATCACAGAATTGCCAGTGCCATTCTCCGTTCCTGACAGTCACATAAAGCTATGTCCTTTTGCTTTTATATACATCAAAACCCATCCTCTGTTCTCCATTATGAGCCACTGATATTTTTGTCCATGCTGTGACCACTGCTTATCCATCTGATTATTACTTGTTCCATTTTTGGCCTCATTATTTCCTAATCTAATTGTCGTCTTTCAGAGCTATGTCCAAATCCTCTCTTCCCTTCTTTTCCTCCCACCACCTTTCTCTACACTCGAGAAGGTGCAAGCCTGATCAAGGCATGCCCCAACAATATCCTGTCTGATGTTTGCTATTCACTTTTGGAGCAGTGCTTGCCAACTCAGGGGCATCTACAGGAGCACTGTTTTTTAAATCTGTCATGTGTTCAGTGGAGTTTATGTGAATGATCCAGAGACAGAAATAGCATTAATATGGGCCTGAATGGAGCCCAACGTGTCATGTGAGCAGTAGGCTTTACTGCAATTATTGCTATTCAGCTGCAGCGCCAAGACACACTAATTAGGGGTTTATCTGGGGAACATAGGACTGCTTATGCTCTGAAACAATGTGAAATATGCAGCCTGAAAAAATGCTGTGGGAGAACTTTATGCCTCTCTTCACCCAGCACAATGAGCTTTGGAAACGACCCACAGCAGAGGTAGGTGATGGAGTTCAACAAAGATTTGAGGAGGAGTCCTGTCCTTCACCCAGGTCTGCCTGCAGCTGCAGCAGCCCGTGGATCAGTCACATCAAAGACAGCAGATTAACCTGCTGTGTCAGTGATGCATGTGCTTCCTATGCCTTCAGGTTTCATGCTCAACGATCAGATGCAGCATAGCATTGTCATCCGCTATGCCTGCAGCAAGCTGTCCATTGACTTCGATGGCTTCGTGGCCTGTATGATCCGCTTGGAGACCCTGTTCAGTAAGTGCCTCCATTCACCAGGCATGGGGAATTCCTGTAAACTTTGGGGTTTCATTAAGTGTTTGGTGTCTTTTAACTGTGAATGTAGCAAATTTCATGGCAATTTGAGTGTGCCAGCAAAATTGTGTCTGTCAGAGCAAGCAGAAGAGAAAAAGCAAAAGTCTTTCTGTCTGAATGACCATGGAGAGCAGAGGGACATGATTTCATAACCGACCGTGCTCTTCTTTACAGTCATCTGCACTTCTTGGTCAGTGTTCTGGTCCCCAGGTTGCCCCAGCTCCAGTAAATGGTACCATTTATCATTTATAGTCCTTACTCAGACCTGATTTACAGGTTTGTCCCCAGATCATACCAGATGCTACTGCATCAGATTTTGCAGTTGTCCTGCTGCCAACTCCTAGTTTGGGGCTGTAGATCTATTCTGCCGCATGAAGTGGCTTAGAAATTACTTGTAAGAGGAAAGAAAAACAGCTGTAGTTTTATCTTACAGAACCAGTCTAGATTTTTAGTAGATCGTGGCAAAAAGCCAGATCTCTACATTTTGTCAGTATTTCTCTACGTGCCAAATTCTGTAGTTTATATCCTATTTTTTTCTCCATCTTCTGCTTTTCAGAAGTGTTTCATCTTCTGGACAAAAAGAAGAGTGGAGTCATACAACTCTCTCTGGCTGAGGTAAGGCCGGTTAGATTGAAATACCGTCTGGGTAAGCTACAGCGATGGACCACACTAAAACACATTTATTTAAAATCACTATTATAAGTGGTAAACTCAATAGGGATTGAGAGGGGAAGTTTGTTTATGTGTAAAGGTTCTTCAGCTCTGAAGGCCTGTCTGAATCAGGAGAATGAGCATTTACCTTACAGGAGCAAAGAAGTAAAGTACATTTAAAATGCCTGAGGTTGCTTGAGAAGATGCTTACACAGTGTGTTTCACGATCTACTTTTAGAGGGAAGTTCTTCAGAAAACACACAGCAGGGGACTGTTCATTTTTGGCAGAGAATGTACCTGCCAGAATTAGAAGAGACCTTGAAAGGTATCAGGTCTTCTTTTCCCCACATTGTTTTTAATGCACATTTCTCCAGCTGAAGCTGTAATAAAAGCAATCAGCTTGAGTCTTGCCTTTGCAGAATACAAATATATCTGAGGAAACAGCTGGAAGGGGCCCCAAGAGGTCCATCCAATTAGTCCTCTCAGCTGAAGACTGGCTCAAAGGGAGGAGGATGGCTAGGAAGGCCTGTGACCTTCAGTCACAGCTAGTTTAAACCGAACCAAACTTGTACATGGCATATTCCAACCCTGGAATTTTTCAAAGGCCATGCAGTTTGCCCTGGAGGACTGCTCTTCCCTTGGAAGAGACACACTTGCAAAGTCTGGGGCTGATCCTGGCAATACATTTCCCCTAAGTTCCAGAGCAGATGGATCCTACGTGTATTGACAGATTACAACTCAGCTCCAGCCTTTCCCAGCTTGTTCTCCCAGAGCTGTGGCGAAGTGTGCCAGTGGCATCTTGTGGACCTTCCAGATGGTCTGACTCCTTGTTCTGTTTCTCCTTCAGTGGCTGTGCTGCACACTGGTTTGAACCACGGTCAATGAATACAGCAGAGACTTCTGAGGCTCTTCTGAACATGGAACCACTCATTTGGCTTCTCCTTGTTATGAAAAACAGAAACTGGTTTTTCTTACTGGCAAGTTATTTTAAACCCACTAGAAATGAAGTCTTCTGCCATCAGTTATAAAAGAAATGCATTCTTGAATGAAAAAAGATAAACAACTGAAACAAACCTGAGCCCAACCTGCTTTACTTTTCCTGCCCGAACATTATTTGTGTGTCATGCTGAAAAGTCACAGAATTTGACTTACCATAGGTAGGCCCAGGTGGCTTTGGTTTGACATCCGACTGTGCTTTGGAGTTCAGCAGTGTTCAGAATCCTGGATCTCCTCTGCCTGAAACATCCAGTGTGTTTCACAGAGAGAAACTCGTGCTCAGAGCATGGGTAAAATCTGTGTGGCTGCTCTGGCTACCTCCCTTCCCAGCCAACTGGGCACTTCGGTAATGCCAAGTGCCCACAGAAGCTGGAGGTGAGGGACTCACAGGCAAGCAATGAACTGCTGAGAGCACAGGGAAATTGGGCACAGGCACAGCCTTGAGGATGGATGGGGAATCAGGCAAACATGATGGAACTCCTCTGCATGTCTTGGCTCAGTCTTCAAGGGAGAGAATAGAGGATGGAAGGCCATAGGAAAGTTGCTGCTGTTATTTCAGCTGTGATCTTCTCCTATGAGGGCTTGCCCATATGTGGATTTCAGCACTCAAAGATAGGTTTGGGAGTTTTAGGAGGTGAGTGGCTGGAGCTCAGAAGCTCATGAATGAAAGTGTGAGGGGAGAAAGGTAAAATGAGTATGTAGGGGGGTCTTGGAGCTTAAGGTTGTGAGGGACATGCTAATATGGATCGTGATTTAAAGAAAAAACTGAAGCTAATAGTCACTGGCTAACAGTGCTATGCCTTCCTAAGATCATGGAAAACCTTTGACCCTTAAAAAATCTCTCTGCATTTAATTTCACAGTATTGCAGTGTAACAGCATAGCAATGCAGGCAAGATAACCTAGCAATCCTCTAGCAATCAGAAAAGAGTTCTGTAACTTGCAGTAATGATCTCACAAGACAACGTGGGTTTGACATTTCTCCTGGGAGCGGAAGGAGTGCAGGCAAAGATCTGTGTCCCCAAGGCAGATGTGGAGCCCATGCTTCATCCCTCTCTCTTTAGTGCTGTGTTTGAGAGGGGCCTTTCTCCGTGGCTGCTTGTTCCTCAGCTCTTTCTTTAAGCAGCAACAAAGCTGTTGTTTGGTTCCCATCTCTGAACACAGAAAGCCTCATGACAAACCCCAAGCCTCTGCTTGACATCTCCCAGCATTTCTTCTTGGTGCTGGCTACAGCTCTGTGACTAACAGGGGTGTATGACCTGCTTTGGTGTGTGGCACTGCCTCTCTGATGGACAATATTTGCTGCTCTCATTTGGAGGTCTACTAGAAATAGAGAAATAAATACTTCAGGTTGCAGTATAAAACCAATAGTGGGGGAATCATAGGCTTTCCCCTGCTGTCCCTGTGCATGTATCCCTAGTCATGACATGGCGTGCAGCTGTCTTATGTCGCCACCAGTTTCTCATGGTAGATATTTGCCTGCTGACCAAAAATAGACATCCACATACCTCCACCTGCCTGGAAGACAGACCTACATGGGGCAAAAGGAAGTTTCCAAACCTTGGTTAATTTCTAGTGGGTGCTCCGCCTGTTCAGTAAGATGAACATGTCCTTCCCTGCACTGTATCTTGAGTATGCAACATGCCTCCCTGCTAACCATGCAGCAGGGTGAGCTGACTGCTTGCAGCTTCAGATTTGCTTTCTGCTCACATGTGCTATTCATGAGTTCATTCCAATTATGATCACAGAGAGGCCTTTCTTCACAGGACTGGGAAGGCTCAAATGTAAGCAGAAATCCATTGCACTCTCCCTTTATATCAAGCAAGGTGCCCCACCACAATAATTCCTATAGTTATTGCAGTGACTTTCACCCTCCTATACAGGATGGGCAGAGTGCTGCACTCCATCTTCCTTTATCTTTGGGAAGCAGGCAACTCCAGAGGAGCCACCTCCTCTTTCATTTGTTCTTCAAGCGCAGCACTTGGCTATCAGGTCTTAGAGAACAACTGCTCAAAAAATAAGCCTTTCCATGGGACTGAATGCACTTCTTCTCACATGATGCATCTGCAAAAGATGATTAAGATCCACCTTATTTTCCTTCCTTGTGCTGCAAGCAGAGCAAATATCTGTGCACCTCAGTTCTCCCAGTTCTGATGGGGCTAAAACGCCTTTTGGTTAAAATGCCTGTAGCAGCTCCTGTGGAAGCAGTGGGGCACAATAGGCTGAGCCAGGGCTTGGCATTTGGACTCTGCATTCTTACACCCTTCATGCTGGCCATGCTTCATTTTTGGAGCAGTGAAACACCACAGCTCCCGTTAGATTTCAGTACCTCAGTTATGGGGAATTATAAAGCAGGCAAGTCACAAAGGTTCATGAATTTATGATACATTCCCTGTCACTATGAAAGCTGTGCTGCATGGCATTCTCAGCACTTTATTTAGAAAAGTGGGGCAAAAGAGATCCCCATGGAAACTCTGCAATGGCTCTTCAGTTCTTCCCTTTCTCTCTCCAATTTCCCATAGAAATATCTTCATTTGTGCTGCAGCCTCATGAACTGAGAACTTGAAATCTGTCCATTGCTCCTGTAAGATGTAATTCACATTAGACCGTGTTGAGAGTTTCAGATTCCTTGTACGCGAATTGTCTTGTGGTTGCCTATAGAGGAACTTTCTGTGGGTATAAACCCTGCCACATGAGCATCTGACACCAGTTTTGCACTAGAGTAAATGTCTGCATGAGGTGCAAGACAACCATGGGGATTTGGAATCCTGCCTACAAGCTAGCAGGATGAAAAGAATCAACCTCATACATGCAATTATCTGTCACCTGCTCATCCTCCCAGAATGGGAGATTTACAGAGGCATCTCTCCTTTCCATCACTACAGGCTAATGATCAGATCCATGGCTTACAAGTAAGCACAGAAGGAGCTGTCCTTTTCAAACTCCTTTTTGTTCTTCACTTCAGAAAGTCCTGTTTCACCTGACTCCACGTTATGTTTTAGTCCTTCATTTCCATACAGTTCAGACAACCTGGCAGGCCTGGAAGAACTGAGATACTGTGAGCGTGTTTTTCCTTTTCATGTTATTCAGGAAGCATCGAAAATTCCAGCCTGCTGTTGCTGTTATCCCAGCCTAAGCTTATAGACTGGAGATTCAAATAAAGTCCATAAAAACATGCGAGATTCTGGATGCGAAAGGAACCCAAATCCCAAAGCTTTTGAAGTTTCTCCACCACTAATGATGTCCCCAGCGATAGTTAATCTTAAAGTAGTGCCCTGCTACTGCCTGACAAGCTTGTTGCCATGGTGTCTGTCTCTCTCTGTATAACTGGCACATACAGCATAAAATCCTCTCTTTCTTTAATGGAGCAAATTACCTCACATGTTACTGTTGGCCCCTCATTAGCTCCTTCCTCTGTCTTTGAGATCTTCGATGCAGCTCCCACCTGAAGTGTAGGTCCCCATCAGCTCAGCTTCATCTGCCGGTGCAGATGGGAGGGCTGGTGTGGTTCTTGGGGAGGGTTGTGTTGGAAGGGAAAGGGTGTGAAGAGGAAAATAATCAGTAGGAATGGATCTGGGAGAGGGACTAAAGAAGCATCTGAACAAATGCTGGGATAACAGCCAGGCAGAAGACGAATGAATCAGCTTTTCATCCGTGCAGGATTTGAACAATGTCAGGAACTGGGGAAAACAAGTTCTTCTTTGACTCCTGCTGCTAGCAAGGATGAAAGCATGTGCACTCTCTTCATAATACACAGGTCTGACTTAGAAAAACAAATCCTCTTCTCTTGTTTGGAAAACTCTGTAAAATATTGCTGGTTTTGTCCATTTGCTCACCTCTAAACCGTAAAAACTACATTGTTGGCTCAAGGGGTGATTAATGCACTTTTTCTAACTCACCTCTTATTAATTCAACCCTCTTCCCCCTCAAGCCAGTGATGTCTTCTTTAAGTTCAAGCTGGCTGATCTGCTCCTCAGTAGATGCCTCACCAGTTTAGGTTTGCCTAGGCTGATTTAAATGGAGTAGCTTGACCTAAGTCTTATACAGCAGGTAACAGTGCAGGACTTCTTCCAGTATCTTAAAGCATTTCAGACTCCCCTAAATTCCCACATCCTTTTTGATAGTCTCTCTCTTATTCTCTTAACTGCACAGATGGTCACATTTTTATCTGTGCTGTATGCTTCTTGTCAGCTGACGTGGTTAAATGTTTCAGTGTTCCTCTGTTATATGTAAAAAAGCCACTGAAGCTAATTTTGAAAGGGAATTTCCATTCTCCTTCTCACTTGTTCGCTTCCTGCTAGCCAAGATACAAGCCAAACCCAGGTAACAGGGTCTATACGGGTGCTCCAGACCTGGTACGTCACTATCAATTGCTGAGGTGGAGCAGCAGGAATAACTACAATCACTGCCGAGGGGAACATCACCTGGGTGCGGTGCTGAGGTCATGTACCACTTTGAAGCAGCTCTCATAACACAGGTGTGTGGGGCACAGAGTCCCCAAGAAAACTGCTAGGCTATCCATGTAGAAAGCACCACAAGTCTTTCCAAAGATGTGTTTTCACTGCATTATAATGTACTCATACATGAGTACATTAAACACATTTTAATCTAAGTGGGTGTTTTATCTGTGTCTTTACACAACCCTGTAGCTCCGTGGGGACATCACTAAACTTCCCACAACAAATGACACTGTGCTGGCAGTGGCATCACAGACTGTGAGGACAAAGTAAACAACCGACCTCTGTGCCATTGAGGGCCTGTATTTAGACACAAAAGAATCACTGAATAATAGAATAGTTTGGGTTGGAGGGGATCTTAAAGCTCACCTCATTCCAACCCCCTGCCATGGGCAGGGACACCTTTCCCTAGACTGGGTTGCTCAAAGCCCTATCCAACCTGGCCTTGAACACTGCCAGGGACAGTGCAGATCTCCCAGCTGGAGCTGCAGCTTTTGTTTCAAAAGCAAAGAAACCGATTCATTACCTTTTTCACACTTCTGAAGGAAGCCAGGCTACTTTTTTGTCCGCTAAAGCTTTTAAAGGAAAAAGAATAGACCAGGGCAGTGCAACATTGCTTTAATT